TAAAACATATTTATAAAAAAATGGGTAACAGAAAACGGTATAGTTTTATCTGAGTTTCAAAGACGTTCACGTTGTTATTATCTTAATTTTTCTAGATGTTGCATATTACCCTTCCTCACATTGAACACTAATATTATTCTTACTATCAGCAAATTACTGCATTGCATAACACCTTGGTGTATACTACTACCAACTAATATCAAAGGATTCAATCTGTTTTCTCACAACACCTAACCCTGCAGTAGGACAGGCCTTAACAAAGGCGCGTTACGGACTGAATGATACAGACACTTGCACGTGGACGTAAGGTGTATTTTTATTTAATACGCACTCCGCATTTATTTATTTTTTCGACGATTTAATCGGTAGGCTAATTTCACAAAGGTCACTTTCGAGGCGTGCAAAGTGTTATGAACATTAGCGACATTGTAACTAGGTTTAAACCACTGAGATATTACTACTACGTATAGAGAAGACAACGCCCTGCATGATTTTGCGCCACGCTTTGCGGTACACTGTAATGCAACTGTTTATGATAAAAAAAATTATGTGCCTCTAGCGTGGCCTCGAGTGAGAAAGGACGATAACGTATATAGTCCTTTCTCACTCGAGGTCACGCTAATCATTAATCTATAGGTTTCTCTGTCTACGCTATAGACCAAATTTTTAGTACCTATGGAAGACGGTCGTCTGTACTTTTTATAGTTTGTAATCTCTTGCTCGAAGCACGCTAATCATTAGTCTATAGTAGACGTGGGCATTATTTCACGTCACTAGATACAGTAACTGGCTACGCGGCATGTAACCGAATCACTAGTTTCGAGTCATGTTACAAGTAGTGATTTTTGTAAATGCGTGATTATGGTTACTGTTAACCATGATTATTGCGGGAGTCGACTGTCGGTCGGTCGAGCGCATAGCGCACATGTGTCATACAACAATAAACAAAACATCGTAAGTAACAGTATTATTGTACGTTTAATTTTCATACGTAAGTCTACAGACATAGACAACAAAATAGAGTAATATCTGTTTGTAAATAATTTCAACGGCTTGCGATTCCGGGAAGCGAGTCACATTGAATTTAACTAAAATAATTTTTAAAACATTTTTGACGGAGTCATGAACTCGTTTATTCATAAAATTAAAATAAAACTAAAAAACGTGTATAAAAATTTTAAAACTTTAAATGTTTATAATATTATAAAACTTAAAAACTGTGTGTAAATAGCCAAACAAACAAACAAATTAATTGTACAGTGTAAATAAAAGTGCAAAAACAAATGATAGTGAAAACGTTGAAAAAGTGTAAATAAACTGTAAATATCAATAATCATTGTACATATAATCAAATTGACTTGTAAATATGCCTGCATTAATAATTTTATGAAAATCTTAGTGTCATAGTAAACGCAAATCAATCATAAATACATTTAATGCAGTCAGTCCTAAACCTGAATAAAGTATGAATGGAAGTTAATTTATTCATTTAACAGTATACAGTTACTATATAGCTACAAACACAGATTGTGATTAAATTTATTTTCGTTTCGTGTGTAACTGTATAGTTGGTAGTGATATTTATGCAAACAATCACAGTAGACGAATAAAAATAGCCAGTTACAAAAATCACTAGTTTTTAAACAGGTGACGCCGATCAAGTCACTGGTTTCGTTACGTTTCTTGAAAATGACGTAACGACCCAAGTCTAGTCTATAGGTTTCTCTGTCTACGCTATAGACTAATTTTTTAGTACCTATGGAAGACGGTCGTCTGTACTTTTTAGAATTTGTAATCTCTTGCTTCGAGCATAGTACTTTATTGTATGCTCGAAGATCATTTGTCTTTTGGTAGTGTTTTTCATATTTATCAATCTATAGTCTGTAGCTTTTGCGTTTGACTTTGACGATCCAGGCTCAGAAATGCGAGAACCCAGAGCCGTAAAACCAGTTATGAAAAAAATTTGACGTTCACGATTCACGTTTCAATTTTTGGTTATAATAAGATACTCTTTGGTTATACATAGGATACAAGATTGTATTTTAATTTCATGTTGTCACGTCCGAAGGTCCGAAAAATCTGTTGAAAAGGTGTTTTTTATTGCAAATGATAATATCGATGGCTTACCAATTATTTGCGCTGTCACATAACATAAACATCAATAGTTAAAATCGTTCTTGGCCGTGAAGATAGTAAAAAGTACATTCGTAAAAATAATGTCACGACTAATAATATTAAATATTTTTTACTTATCCCTTTTGAAAAGTGCCACTGGCTTAGGTGAAATAATTTACGCTATAAATGCAGGTGGACCGGCGCATACAGATATTCATGGTATAACTTATGAAAAAGATCCTTTGCAAGGAAGAGTTGGCACCGCTTCTGATTATGGGAAACAGCTAGTAATGATTCGCCGAGTTAATCCTAAAGATGAAATACTCTATCAAACTGAGAGATATCATCATAGCACTTTTGGCTATGACATACCTGCAAATTCAGATGGTGAATATGTTTTAGTGTTAAAGTTTAGTGAAGTATACTTTAATGCTCCTAATATGAAAGTATTTGATGTTGTCTTAAATGGAGATCACACAATTGTAGCTGACTTGGATATCTTTGACAAAGTGGGTCGTGGTGTTGCCCACGATGAGTATATACAATACTCAATTAAAAATGGAAAGTTATATTATAATGAAGAAGAATCTGACATAAGAGGAGGTAAAATAAAAGTTGAATTTATCAAAGGATACCGAGATAACCCGAAAATAAATGCACTCTATGTTATGAGAGGTAAGATAGAGGAAGTTCCAAAACTTCCACCATTAGAATGGCCTGAAATTGAAACTGAGGAGATAAAAGAGGAGATTGAAGAAAAAGATACTGAGTCCCGTAGGACAAGCGGTCCAAAGCAACCAGATCCATACACAATGGATAAAAGTTCTGTTTTAATACCTGTGTTCATAACTATTGGTGCTTTTATCCCTTTGTTATTTTGCATATGTAAATTATAATTGTTTTTAATTATAATTAATTATGTGTTTTTATGTACATACTACATCTAAAACATCAAAGTGCAATCCAAAAGCTGATGATTAAAGATTGTGATGATAAATTAGAAGTAAAATATACAACAGAAATATATTATTTTTGCTTTAGACTTGCTATTTACAATCTAAATCTAATCAATAAATTATGTTAATTGGGATAGAGAAACAGTAATAAGGTTAAGTCTAAATAAGCTTATTAAGATGTCAAGTATAATCTATGTTGACAAACATCAGGTAAGTTTGAAGTCAGAGCTGAATAAGATCTATATATTACCCTCATTTTTTGTAAAATTATTTATTAGTGGTACATTGATAATGAGCATATTTTTTGCATAGTCATATATTGGAATTTATATCAAGCCAAATAGTACAAAATACTAATATAAATGTTTATTAGTAGTGATGCACCAAAGTATATTTCACATTCCGTAAAACAAATATGGCAGCTTTATGGCCAAACATCAGAATGTTGCCAAATTTTGTTTTATTTACTGAACATTCAGTTCAAATCCTACCTAATTTGTCCAAACCGTCTATCATACAATAATTATTGACAGTAAGTTAGGCTGTACTACTCTTGATAAACTGTATTTTATGATAATTTTCTTTAAAATGAAACCATGTTTTGAATAGTAAGTTATGATACAAAACATTGTTTCATTACTATTATGATGCATAACATAAATACCTTTGCCCTTTATTAGTATTTTGTTTTATTTAATATTAATCTGTGGTTAACAAATAACCATCAACATTGTTTATTATTTGTAAAAGCAGTCTAGGAGGCAAAAAGTAGTTATGTCAAAATGTAAGTGTTTATTTGTAAATTTTAGTAATTAACTCTTCAGTCCCCAAGCAGTCAGATTCGACCACACATCTACAGCACTTTAAACCATTAAAACTTATATTTAAAGACTACTTTTCTGTGATGAAGTTTTACATTATAGAATCAATATGAAATTTTCTATCCTCTAGTGCAATAACAAGTCATGTTATCCTATGTATATTTATTTGTAATCTACTTACATTTCATACGCCATTTTTGCGTGAATGTTATTGTGTTGATTTTTGGATTTGTCTAGTGTTTTAATATAGTGTTTTATTTTAATAAAAGTATTTGTGTGAATATAATTTATCTTTTTACGTAAATTATTTCGAGTAATATATAGAAATAATTGTGATTTTCACGCTACCTATGTCTGCTTGGTATGTTTTTTTTTTGTTATCAAAATACAATAAAATCTTTTTGTAATGAAGTAAAACCTGACTTTTGTTTAGACCACAGGATAGAGAATTTTGTATAGATTTTATAATACCAGACTTCTTCATAGTAAAGTAGTCTCTAAATGTAAGTTTTAATGGTTTTAAGTGCTGCGGGTGGGTGCGGTCGCATGTGACCGCTCAAAATTTGCCGGGCGCATGAGACTGCATGGGATTTTTATTGGGATTGAAGGGTTAATTGATTGACACATGTATTTACGAATTAGGTACATATTAATAAAACTTTAATCATGAATAACTAAAGTTAAACAGAAGTTTGGTCAAACTGCTTTTGTTGCATTGTTTTTGGTGAATCTGACGTTCAACTGAAACTACATTTAGTGCATCACTATTTATTAGTGCCCGTCCCACATCAAATATTCAAGCTTATAATTAAGCACAATATTGTAAATGCACATCAATATGTAAATAAAGAGCTTTATGCTAAAGAAAATTTAACATAATTCTCATTTTAGTGTCTGTTAACAATAAAATATAATATAAATGAATACAGAAATATGTGTATAATGTTAAATAAGACAAAAAAAGGTATAACGAATTTATTTTGCAGTCTTATAAAACATTGTAGGTTCTGAAAATGCTAGAAACATTAATAATTGAAGTTTCTTTCGGAGAAACCTTCCATTATTTTAGCATGTTCCATTGTTGTTACTAGTCTTCCACATACACACTTTAATCTTCAGGGTTGCTTTTGTTTTCTCTTCTCAACTTTAGCTTTTGTGAAAGCTTTACAAGTTTAAGTAACCTGTAAATTTAACAAATATTACTAGAAGTAGGATTTTTATTGTCTGAGTTAAAAACAATCTTCAGTCCCCAGCTTAAAACTGTCGGTGTTTTGAATGTATGTGTGTTTGTTCTTTGTGACTGCCTGTACTAAATGCCTTGATGGGTTTTGATATGCATGGTACTTTTAGATTTTGAGTACTAATGTTGTTAATAATACTTGAGTTATTAAAATTAATTTACTTTTTGATTTTAGTTTTAGAGTTTACTAAAACTGGATCTTCAACATATTTTATCGATGTTAAAAATAAATAAAAAAATGTTTTAAAGAATACTGTACCCAAGTTTTAAGACAATTTGTAGGTTAAGATACATCCTAGTAAATAGTCACAGTCTAGTGGCTATTATACAGTGGGATTATTTGTTTAACTATTTATACATATAAACTTAACTATATATGTATAAAAAAAAAAACAAATTAGTTTTGGGTTTGTATTGTAACAATTGTGTCTAAAAATATGATTCATCAGAGCCTGTTTCCAATTTCATTGCATTGGTGTGATGTGTAGATGAGTGAGTGTGTGTATGTTATTGCATATGTTTGTGGATGCTGTATGATATGTCTAGTAATAAAGATTTAAAGTCCACCAAAGGGTAGAGCATTGGATTTTTAAGGCAGCTGGTGCGCAGCGCACCACTTTCATATGTGGTAGAGCCATGCTGCAGTTATATTAGTAGTATAGTTGTAGTACGAATGGGTCGGCTCGACCGGGGAAGGACTACACTCTCACAGAATACCGGCGTAAAATAGTAGCTTAATGCTGCTGTGTTTCGTATGGTGAGTGTAGAGAACCGGAGACCCTTTTTACTGGAAACGAGGCATTCTACCTTAGTCCCACGGGTGACAACACCTCTGCATTTTGATTCGTAATTGAGGATAGATGTAGATGTTTATGGGCTACAGCAACCACTTAACATCAGGTGGACTGTGTGCTCATTTGTCACCCGATCCTATAAAATAAAATAAAAAGTCATGAGGTGTTTTGGCTGTTACTCCGGATATCCTTAATCCATCTATTTATACAGCGGTGATAGTGATAAATTATCACCTCTGAAAATACCTTATCCAGCAATAATCTAAAAGCTACTACTCTTTAAACAAAATGTTTTATGATACTAGTATTAATCAAGTGCGAAACATTGAAGTTTGTGCGTTCAGTATATGTTCTGTATTATGTACAGAACATATAGTATAACCGCGAACATAATCTGTGCGGTATTGTGAGAGGTACGTAGTCGGAGGAGCAGAGTACCTTTTTATAGCACAGACTAAGTAAGTTTGCGCCCGTGGGCTCTATCGCATATTGCAAACAACCAAATCTGGACGTCCCTTCTAGTACATAGTACATATTACTTCAATATTGTGAAAGAGTTTTGATAAGAACCTTTATCCTGCCAATGGGTATATCTTCATCTGCCCGCAAAACCCACTGCTGAACGTGGGTTTCACTTTGCAGAGAGGTTTCGGATTGATTGTGACGCTTGGTAGGCAGACTAACGATTGCAGTAGATACCAGACGTCTCGCACCTTTGAGGATGCTGCCGTCGCCAGTTTTTTGTATTTAACGACTGGCGTAAACGATATAATAATTTGGTTTGGTATCTTAATACAATAATAAAGTCAACCTAAAATATCCGATCTGAATGGGCTAGGCGATCCTACTTCCGATTTGTGTTCAGGGGCTGCAGCGAGAGCGAGTGTTTCTCACCCTGCCCGCTGCATCCGCGGGAAGAGAAGCGGGGTCGCGAATGTGTTCCTGTAGCTCAGCCCGTATCCGGTGAAGTTGGAACACCATGGGCTTTAGTTGGTGCGTGGTACGTAAAACTTCCTTGCCCCAACCCGCAGAGTAATTGTAGGCATTTTCCCGCAAAAGAGGACCTATATATATGTGCAATTTCATCGTGATATTTTACAGGATTCTCGATTGAAAATAAATTTAAATATCAGTGGCCGGTTTGTTCTAAATAAAGTTCTATTATACAATTTTACAAAAAACAGGTTCTCCATGTACATCATCATTACAGTAAATCACAAGCCTACTGCTGAACATAGGCCTACCCAATTCTATGCTTTTTCATTTCGGTCCTAAGCCACCTGTATACTGTTTCTGTGTTTCTGTATCCACGCCAGCAAGCTGATTTGAATGCATTTAATACATAATAATAATATCCTCCAGACTGAATTTTGGCCATGGCGTCTATAGTGTCAACTGTGATGACCGTTGAGACTAGAGAAATAATCTACATACGCTGGGACGGTAATCCTACATAACCGGAGAGAGATCAGTCACAGGACCAACGACCTTACGTGCTTTCCGAGGCACGGGGATGAAACAACGCCAACTTCCTGACTCCGGGCTGTTACTGAACATTTCTTGACAGAAAAGAAACAAAATTGATTTTTGCCGACCCGGGGTCCTCAAGAACAGTAACCGCGTTTACGGCCACTAGACCAACGAGGCAGTCATAAAAGTAAAACCATTTTAATCCATGCCTACCTACCTACATGCAACCTACTATATTAATGAATAAACTGGATATGTCGATAACACTTATGTGAGTGTGCGTGCAATCCGTAAATAATCGTAATAAATTTATTTTATACGTAAAGTTAAAGTAAGTGAAAGTTATCGAACTTTACTTACGCATTTCCCGTTCCTTGAACTTTAAGTACACATTCCCCTTTATGGTTTAATAAAAATCCCATTTTACAGCTGCTTGTTGATTCTGTAGTTGATGTAACATTCTTATTTTCTGCTATTGTTTCATTTTCCGTTATAACTGTACTCCTGGACGTCGTTGTATATTCATAGGCTGTTGTGTTCCAGGTTTCAGAAGACGTTTTAATGGACGCGGCCACAGTTGTGTTTTCCGCGAATACCGTTGCGGCTATTGTAGTATTATCTCTTACGGAATCTGTTACTGCACTTGTACCGTTGTACACTTGTAACGGCTTTGGTGTTGTTCGATTTTGCGGCTTTATTGTCATCTCGGAATAATCGTAAGCGTAGTCATAGTCCTGAAATTAAGAGCAACTTTTTGTCAATATTTAGTATTTTTACTATTCAATTATTTCGCAACGATAAGTGTCACGATCTTAATTATTATTCTTTATGTCCTTCCATAACTTTTTTTATTTTGTGCACCTACAAAATAATGGCACCAATTTTTAAATAAAAGTTAATAATATTTTTTTTCAATGTCAGAAAACTTTTATATTCCCCTAAATAAATGTAAAACAATCCTAATGCTAAGAATTAGCTAAGCAATGGTTAATTAAAAATATGTCTTATACGAGCTAGATTTCATAAGTATTATGGTAAGTATATTGTGTTAGAGTTTAGATTTGGTAGTTTTATTATAGACTAGCGATTTGCATCGACTTCGCATGGGTGATTTCTGGAATCTGGACAACGGCGCCATCTACCGAGTCCAATTGTAAATGTAAACCATCCAGGGATCCACTCAAACACAAAAAATTTCAATAAAATCAGTTCAGCCATTTTCAATTTTTTGCTAGATTAATGGACATCAATTGATTTTATATAATATAGAGATCATGTAAAAAGTATCATATACGCAACTTATGTTACAAAAATATTTGCTTTTTATATTCAAATAAATTTTAAACTTACCACATACTCTTCTTTACCGCCTTTCATGAGCGCAATAATTTGTATATCTTTCAAATCAACTTGAACATTTAATTCACCGGTTTGACTTTGATCGTAAGAAATTGATGTAACATCATATCCCGATATGAGGTAATAAATGAAAAAATAAAATTTTGTATTCATTTTATATCTTTAGATGTAATGAACACAGGTTAGCGGGAAAGTAGGAGGTTGATATTTTGTAGTAATCGAGTCTCGCGAACGAAGCCAACTGGCCGTGACGCCTGGGTACCCTGCGCGCATCTTGATACCAAGTTATTTCCACTTAACAGTTATTTCAAGTAACTGTGGTAGGGTCGATAGCCTCCGTTAGTGCACTGTGTCCTCAGATTGCGTAAGGTCCGCAAATCTTTTGTTAATCCGATGTTTTTATTTTTGTGTTAATTCCAAATTCCCGTTACAGATAGTTGACATAAATAATACTGGAAATAAAGTATGTATTTTGAAGCAAAAATAACTTTGCAATATAATATTTTTTCTGTTTTAATTATTAAAGCCTCAATTTATTTCGAATTGCCTGTGAATGAAACCTGTAAGAAGCTAGCTCTGTATCAAGACGGAGCACCCTGGCTGTAGGAAATGACCTGTGTCCATCACGAATAGTAATTGCAGTGTTTTAAATATATCTAATCATACACTACGAATACAATTTCTTGTGCTAATATTTTAGAGCCGATTAAAAAAATGGTTTTTTGGATATATAAGTACCTATGTAATTTAGTAAATATTATGTATGTTTGTCTGTATAGGGCCTAGAAGAATCTAAAACTATGACACCAACTATGTCCTAACCTGATGCTTTCAATCCTACTAAAAGTACTCCGTAAAGAGTTGCTGTTTAAACTTTTCTTTTACTCCAGCAGCCTTCGAAGTAGGTACCTTAAAAAAGTAACGTTGGTATATATGATGAATAAAAAATTTTTAGTGATGTTTTTGACATTACTAATATTCCCTTTAACCCCGTAAGTTTAAAATGCTTGTGTTAGGAGTTGTTCACGACAGTAATGGAAAGACGGATCGAACCCACGATCTTTGAGTTCGTAATCCACACCTATCATTAGGCTTCTGTCACTTAAGTGTATTCGCAAGCACAGGTGCACTGCCTATTCCCTCACTCTCTTATTCCGATGAAATAGTAATACGACACGACCGGATAGAGAAGCGTCGCAGGACCAACGGCCTTAGGTACTTTCCGAGTGTAAAACACCGCCACCTTCCTGACTCCAAGCTGCTACTGAGAATTTCTTGTCAGAAAACCCCAGTAACTGATTTTGACCCAACCTGGGATTCGAACCCGGGACTTCATGATTATAAACCGCGTTAATGGATACTAAACGAACAAAGAATTTAAAAAAAAAATTATTATAATACATCACCAATACGAAATACCCTTGCATTTCGTATTGGTGATGTATTTATTAGTTGAGTTGGCTTTACGTAATCCTCCTCTCTCCGTTCCTTCGCGCACGGGCCTGCCTAGTAGGGAGGAGCTAGGTACTGGTGGACGCATTTTTGGTTCTCCAATGAGAGACGCGCTTCGCCAATTAGAAAATGGATATGGCGGAAGCTATGATGCTTCCTCTACACTACTCGCGAAGTAGATCGAAGTTGGACGAGGCGAATAGTGTAGAGAGGTACTTCGATTCACTTCGTCCAACCTCGCTTCGCCTAGGGCGACTTTCGATCGCTGTCGGTTTTTTGCGCCAGAGTCAAAGGACTTCGCGAAGTACCCCGAAGTGACACGAAGCATCTCACTACACTACTCGGCGTACGTCCATTAGCGCTTTGACTCTCTAGTACATAGTCAGTAATCTATGGCTTTGACGCCGTACTGTTCACACGTGTGCGCGCGCATAAAATTGGGTACATATAATGAGTGCGACTTGGTCACAGGAACAAGTCCTTTTCTTCTTAGAAACACTACAATCAGAGCGAGTTATTTGGGACCCAACTGACAGAGGACATAAAGATAGAAAAAAAAATCAACGATGCTTGGGTGCGCATTCAAGGAATTTTCAATATGCCTATCCTAGAACTGAAAAAAAAAGAAAGAATCTCTTTTTTGCCACCTACAGGGGCTATTGCAGAAAAAAACAAGTCACTTAAATCCGGTGCCGGCGTGGATGATAGGTATTTATCTTCCAGTATGGTTTGCATTTGAACATATGGATAATTTTTTGGGACCAGTACCTATTTAAATGTAAACAAACAATGACAACGGTGAGTTTTTATTATTTAATTAATGAGTAGGTTAAAAATTAATTCATTTCAATACATGCTACTGTAAAGTAAATGCACACCTGTTTCACTGCTTTATTCAAATACGAGTATATTATGAAAATGTATTTTATTTCCATATTTCATGAGTTCCAACAACAGATAGGCAAGATTTCACAAAAGTATATGAATGGTGTTGTTTGTTACTGTTTCTTTTTTACATTTGTATGCATTATGTAAGTATGATTTTCATTACATTTAGTAATAAATTTTAACAGACTTCAAAACGGAGGAGGTTTGCAACGCGAGTGTGTTTGTTTTGTATGTATGTTACGCGATATCTTCGCAGATTGTTACACAATTTCGATAATTCTTTTTTTATTAAATAGGTGATAAAAACCGTATCAAATTTTTTTGTATAACTATGACTTTTTAACACCAACTAAAACAATATATAAGGAAACTAAACTGTTGAACGTTACTCAACTTTATACATACAGCACATGCATACTAATATATAAAATAAAACATAAAAATGTATCCACACACAACTCACGTTTTTAACAAAGAAGCAATCAAACAAATACAACACGCCGAGCTAGTCACCTTGTATTGCCGCCTATAAGAAGAAACTATGGTAAAAATAATATAACGTATAAAGGAGCACAGTTATACAACAAACTACCTAAATTTGTAAAGGAGGCGAAATCTTTGAATGTTTTCAAACAGAAGTTACTTGCCTACCTATATTCACAACAGCTAAATACCTAACCTTAATCATTATTAAATAAAAACAAAAAAACATTATTAAACTTGGACCACCACCTTATAGTTTGAGTAAACAACAAAGATATTCGCTTCTTAAAAGCGTCATCTAACAAAGTTGTTTATACCCGCACTAAAATTGTTATTACTAACTTTATATAGTTATTGTTCTCATGTAAGTGACGATTGTCTTATTGAGAAATAGAGATCTTTAAACCGAATCAATCAATAATATCAACTAATAAAATATCTCGTAAACTGTTTCAAACTATTTCAAATTTCCCGCGCACTCCACTGTTCGACACATGTCGACCGATGACCTCGTATTGCCTTAGCGATACTGTTGCTGTCATAAAAAATTAATTTTAATAGAGCGATTAGTTGTCTCCCTCGCTCGCGTGAGCTTTTTACGGGGCTTTCGAGAAGACGATCGCTCTCTTTCTATATAATGAAATATAACTACGATTGTATATATAGATATTGTATATATATATATATATTTATATATATATATATATATATATTAGTATAGAGATTTAGCCACTAGGTATGAATTTTAAAAACGTTACCCCTACACTAGGATTTTCTTCTGTATCGTGGGGGCAGTTTACAAACACAAATTGCACAAGGACAAACATCCAGACCCGGAACAATTATTTGTAGGCCACTGTATGGTATTTGTATGGGTATATACTTGTTCCGTGCGGGATTCGAACCCGCGACCCCCAGCGCAGCCACTCATTGCTAAACACTGCGCCACGGAGTCGTCAAAAATTCAAAAATCGGAATTTGTCAAAAGCGGAGGCGCGCGGGCAATACGTTTGCAAGTTCATTTCACATTTCAATGTTTAATTACTCTGTGTGTTTAGCTTAAGCGATTTAATATTGCGAATTTAAAATTTATGCTTTTGTAAAGATTTTTAGTGAAAATGGAGGATAATAGTGTTAGTTAAAAAACAGTTATTGGTACAATTAAAACGTTCACCAACTTTTTACGTGAATGTAATTAAATCTTTCCTTAAGAAAGCGAGACGATTCCACTTATCTTATCTTATATCTTATCCATTAGAATGTAAATATTTTTTTTTAATTTTGTAATAGTTTGTTTGTACTTTGTTCATGTATTGTATTGGATGTAATTTTTTTTCTTTCACTTAAACAAACCCAAACGGCTTTCTTCGAAGCCACCGAAGCTATGCATTTGCTGATATGTAATACAATCTATCTAGCAGTAGTATGCCTTCTGTGTGCTTTGTTAAACACGTCCTTGACAGCACTGAGTATGAAACTGAAGCGTGGAGACAGATCAAGATTGGTGTATTTTTATAAAACTGCTAAAAAAAACAATCTATATTTTTATCAATTTATATCTTGGGCTTGCCCTAGTATGGAATTCTAGCTTGCTGTTCTAGCTTCACTGCAAGTAAGTGCCCATCCTTATTAAGAGCTGTTTTATTTGTTGTTCCTCTATCCGGAGCAGCTCATCTACCGTCGTGTCAGCCAACGCCTCAAATTGTTCAAAGTCCGCCACGTGCCACGTTGGCCATTTTGTTTTGGTTCCTTTGAACCACGCTAATACAGTCCACTTGATCGTTCGCCCACTTTGGTCACTTTTCGCGCACCCATATTTTAGTCCGGTCCATCCGGATTTGAACCACAATCCTTATGGCACAAACAAGTCGAATTGCTGAACTGACAATATACCTTGGTTTAGTCGCGCCTAAAGTCCTAAGTAGATTTTAGTTTTGCTTCGCACCATCAGGGGTACTGTACGTCATCTTTCTGTTTGGTAGCAGCACTCGCATTATTATAGGTACATAGACACCTATTTTATTTAGTTCGTCCCCGCAGTAGGTGTCTATTTACTTATATCCGACCGTAATTCAATAATATTTATATGAATTTTATAAACTAGTGTATTCCCACATAAATACTTGATTCGTTAAAAAGGCTAGACCCGGACAACATACGTTCGTTCGAAATAGAAAATCTTGGCTCCGAGATAGGTAACATCGTTCGACGCCTTAGCATCTTTCGTGCGAAACCAAATTAAAGTAATACAAGCTCATCTAATGCAAAACAAGAAGTACAAAATACGCCGAATGTCGAATGGATGCACCGTCGAATTCATTTTCGCACAA